CGGCTCGGCGCGGGTCGAGAGCGCAGCGCCCTGCCGGGGCGGGAGGCGCGATGGGGATGGGTTCGGGGTCTAGCGGGCGGGAGGGCGCCGCGGGCGTAGTTGGAGCCCGCACTGACTACCCGGTTTCCTTCCGGGGAAACCGCGTGGTTCACGCGACCCGGCAGGGACCGGGGACACAGGGCCCGGGCGCTGCACGTCCCACACGATCTCGTCTGCGCCGGCTCCTCCCGGTGCGGGGGAGGAGGCCCGAGCGCGGCGCCCATTGGCTGAGCCGGCCGAGCCCCCCGGCCCCAGCCCCGGCCCGAGCGCGCAGAGGAGGAGTGACCGCCCCTGCTCTGGGGTTCCGAGCCGCTGCTCCCCTACCCGGGGCGCCGCGCTAGGTACGCGGCCTGGCGCGAGGCGTTTCCCCGCCTCCCTCCACCCTCGTGCCAGCCTTTCGAGGTGCCGGGACGGAAGCCACTCTCTTCAGGCCCGGCCTCGGACGCCTGGGTGTCTGGCCCCAGGGTTGGGGTGAACAGCCGGTCTCTGAGGTCCCTCTTTCCTAGCAGTGCAGGCCCCCAAGCTTTAGCCACGGCTGGGGGAGACGTGCTCCGCGGTGGCACGTTTCCCTGCTAGGGCGGGGCGGGGAAGGGGAAGGGGTCCCGGACAGCAGTCGAGCGGGCAGAGCGCGCGCTGTAGGGGACGGGGGTGGGGAGGGGGCTGGAAGACAAGGGACCCCGTTCCCGAGTGGATGAGGAATCTTTCTCTGGGGGCAAACAGCCGCCTAGGTAGGATGTATTTCTTCACCTGTAAACAGGCTCGTCCTGCGGGGGGTCTTTGTGACTTTTCCCGCGACCGGTTCCTTTTCAACAAACGCCTCCTGTGTGGGCGGTGTTGTTTCTTTCCCCCTTCCCTTTTCCCCCTTGTCAAGAATGTTTTCAAGTCAGTTTTTCCCTTTCAGACACTCTTATTTTCTTGGATTTTCCCATCTCTTCGGCTGGGAAGGCACAAGGAAGCCCGTGCCACCCCCTTCCTTTTTTTTTTTTCCTTAACCTGGGACGTGGGGGTCGGACTGAACGCTGAACCGCCCTTCCTTTGGGCTGCGGAGGTGTCGGGTGGGACCGAGCTGGGGTCGGCCTGATGGAGAAGTTCCAGGGAGGCTCCCAGACAGTCACAGCTGAGCCATAGTGGTGGGATATAACTCAATAATAAAAATACAGCGAGAAGAGATTTTAGCTAGTGGCAAGGGCTGAGACCCTGGAAGTCCAAATACTGGCTGCGTTATCTCAGGGCTCTGGCAGGCCACTTAACTTCTCCAGGCCTCAGGGATAACTTTTTTCTCTTCCACAAAGAAGAGAACTGTCTATTCAGCATGTGATGCCAGACGTGGATACTTATTGGTTGAGTGGATAAGTGAATTTAATGAGTGGAGACAGAAAAGTGGAGGAGAAAATCAACAGCCACTTACAGTTTCCTGGGCTCTTGACTAAAATGCTTTTCTGTTCTCTTTTTTAAAATTTTATTTTAACATCTTGTACGTGTTTGTGGGGTACAGTGTATTGTTTCAACACATGCATATACTAAAGTGCTTTTCATTGTTACTGACCCTGTACCTCTGCTGGTTCCTCACCCACCTGGAGCTCACAGAAGGGAAGTAACTTTCCTGAACTCACACAGCTCGTAAGTGGGTGAGCTGGATTTGAACCCAGAAAGGGCATTCATTTCTGTCCCCACGGTCCCTTTTCACCACAGCATTTCTTGAATTTTGGGCAGAGGAGAAAGAGTTTGCCAGTCTTCAAGGGTGGCATTTGCCGGCTGGTTCTAAATGCTGTAGCAGGTGGGTGCTTTTCATGCAACGCTCTCCAAACTTTGTACTGTTCATCCCATCAATAAATAATATGGGGCACCTCCTTCCCAGGGGTCTATCTGTATTTATAAATTTATGTACATGTACTGTTATACTAGTAGATTATATGCCTACGTAACAGAAATTTCAAAAGACAAGTACAAGATAGCAGTTACAGTAAATTTTTCTTTCTAAATCCTCTATGAATCATCTTGCATACATTCTGGAATAAAACCGTTTCCTTTGGAGACTGTTGACCTGATCAGCAAGCACAGGATATTAAACTGAGGCCTGGAGAGGTTGTATCATTTGCCCAAGGTTGTAAAGCCAGGTTGTCTGGCTCCAAAGCCTTGGTTCTGCTATGTTCCTCCTCAACTCCTAGGAACTGGGAATTGACTCAGCTGACTTCCTTGTGTTCTTTTGTGCTCCTCTGCAGCTAGTCGTAATAAGCTTAACTAAGGAAGTAGGGAGGGGACAGGTGGAATCACCCTGCATCTCAGCCAGGGGTTTGCCCATGGTCTCTCCTGGATGGCAAGCAAGGGTGAGCCTGGCCCTAGGATGGCTCACCCTGCCCTTTGTGAAGAACTCGTGGCTAATCCCATCTAGACCCTCCACTTTAGACACAGGAGAAATCAGAAATCTGCAGGGTTCCTCAGCCCCTCGGTGGTACAAAGAACATAGGCTTTTGAAGTCTTGCAGATGTAGTTTTGAATCCCAACTTAGTTCAGTTGCCTCATCTGCAGAATATCATTTTTCATTATTAGAATGTCTAAGAATTCAGAAAAAAATGTAGATGTCTATCCCCATAGATTCTCTTTGGACTCCCATGATGTATTGTGCTCACCCGGGCCCCAGGTGACCTGTACCTGGGTGTTGGCCTCTATCCAGAAGTCTGGCATTCTGGCAGTATGGGCTTTTGGGAGCCAGGATGCTTAAGCCCTGGGCCTGCAGGGATTAAGTAAATTATTAAAGCTCCCATTGGTCAGTTCTTTCCAACAGAAGTTTGTCAGGAAGCTAGTTCACAGAGATGGCACATGAGTGAGAGTGCCAGGCCTGGAGAGGGTCACCTAATATGGATGCCTTACCCTGCCCTGCCTTAATCTGCTTTACTTTTTTGCCATAGGCTTCCTGCCTACCTGCCTGAATTTGGGTCAGCCCTTGGGTAGTTTGAAAGAGACTTTCATGTCCATTATCTCCTGGGATCCTCACAACTACCTTGTTAGGGAGATAAGAGACACGATGACATCAGGGTGCAATGAAAAATGACCTTGCCGAGGTCACACACTGAGCCTCCCACCTCAAAACATGCTACTAGACTTTCCAGGATGACAAGAGGGTAAAGAAAAGCCAGAGCAGGAAGGGATCTTCCAGCCCATGTCCCAGTCCTCCATTTGACAGATGGGGAAACTGAAGCTAGAAAAAGGAAGAGACTTGTCCAAGATAAGGCTGTCACAAAAAGATTTGAGGTGTTTATGGTGGTTTTGTTTTTTTGTTTTTTGTTTTAAGTTGCTTTCTTCTGCACACTCCTGTCTTTTATGCCATCCTCCACCCACCTCAAATGAGTAGGGATACCCAGACTTCAGGACTTTCCAAACTCTTTCTGGGAGCAGTAGGAATCTAAAAGTTGGATTAGACGTAACTTGACAACTAAAACTCTCCTGTGAATGGAAACAAAACATGAGATGTTCCCACGAAACTATGACCTTGGAGAAGTGACTTTCCTTGGAGCCTTGGTTTCCTTCTCTGTAACATGGAGGCCTCATTGCCCCTGGTGGATGTGGTGAGACTGGCCCAGTGCCCTAATTCAGGGTGGTGGCTATTTTAAGTGGAAAGACCCTTTGTATGGCCAGCTTGGGTATACAAACCTAGTTAACAGGCCAAAGATGATCCTCGTCTAGTGCTGAGCCTCCAGGGATTCGACCCTACTTGCCCCGGAGCTGGGTCAGCCCCAAATCCCCCATAATCAGCTTGTGACTTCAAGGAGCTCAGCTTTGCCCAGTGCCTCCTGGTCACGGGGTGTCAGGGCCCAGGGCTCTGCTCTGGCACCAAGGGTACAGGTGTCCAGTTTCCCCCTTCCCTCCGGGCTGGCAGAGATGGGGAGGCCTGGAACAAAGGGAAAAGTGTGCAGCATTGGCTCGGGGCCTGCAACCTTACCCCTTCCCTCACCTCACTCCTGGGCACAGAGGTGACAAAGCCACTCAGTCTGTTAACCGGTGTCCTCAGGATGGCAGAGGCTGGGAAGGCTCCTGGCTGGATTCATGGGCTTAGAGAGGCTGTGTCCAGGCCAGCAGCCCAGCCCAGCCACCAAAACAAACCTCCAATTGTTACCTCCCTCCAAGGGAGGGGTGGAGGGGAGCCCGAGGCTCTGTCGTCCAGCCACTCTGGCAGTTACTGATGCATAAACATTGGGGTTTTGCAGGAACTGAGTGGGGCTTCCAGGCCTTGAACATGGGCAGAAAGAAGGCAGCATTCACCTTATTCACCACCCCACTGGCTTTTACCTCCCCAGGGCCCTTGCACCCTGGAAGGGGAGCAAGCTTTTGACAGACCCCAGCTGATGGAGCCTTTGGCTACTGAGGCCTTTGCTGGACAGAACATCTGCCCAATTCTTCTAGTCAAGAGTTCATCTCCCCCTGCCCTGGCATTTGGGAGTGGGAAGGGAAGGGCTGTGCCAGAAACAGCTATAACACTGACCTTAGGCCAGCCACACCTCTTGCTGGTGTTGGTGTCTTCAGCTTTAGTGGGAATAATACCTATCTGTCTGGAAAGCTGCACTGAGGCTCCCTGGGAGCATGGGGTCTGTGCGGCAGGCTTGGGGAGTACTGGGGAGC